GCAGCGAGAGACTCCTCACGCCGAGGTCTGAAAACTGTTTACCCTGGAGGGCGCGACAGAGAGAAGATCGGAGAGACACCATTAAAACCACGGCCGACTATCTACTTCGTATAAATAATGCGCTCGCATTTTACGCGGGAAAACTTTCGGATGTCGAGTCGCGCGCGCGACATACGACGGTGCATCCCGAAATCTGCATGCTGAAAGCTGCGTGCATATTAAAACTGCGTTGCGTTGTGTCGCACCGATTGGAAGCAATCTTGCAAGTGCGCAACCTGCGGACGAAATCTATTAATATCCAGTTATGTCTATAGCTGTCGTCGTCGAAATCTTGTAATAATTGCCGCCGGCAACCGAAGTTACAGCGACTCGCGAGGCGCGACTAGAAAAGTACGCCGGGTGTTTTCCACGTCGATCGCAGTTCCGCGGCGTGCACACGGCGAAGATTGCGAAGTTTCACGGCGAGGATTCCTTACAAAGCCTGACTTATTTAGCCTCAGGTCCGCGATGGGCGCCACCTCTCTATACCCTCCCGTTCGCCGCCCCTTTGACTCGGTTTGGCGGTACTCCGAGAGGACAGGGAGGAAAAGGAGTAGAAGAGGGAAAGGGATGGGAGCGAACAGGCGGAAGAGGAAGGTTGCAGAAGCCCGAGCTTGAAAGGACGAAACGCTCTTTTGTCGGTGCCCTCTACACCGCAGAACTTTATTAATTGCGCGTTTTGTTATGCAGATTCCTGCAGAGCCAGTCTCAGTCTTTCAACTCCCGGGCTCTGCCCGAAGCAACCTTGTCTGCCGGCCCGCGCGACCCCATTAACTCACCGTTGGATCGCGAAGAGTCCAGGATCCGCCTTTAAAAGATTACTCGCGAATTCATTGCCTTCAATCGGAGAAAACTTTGCGCATTCTGCAATGATCTTTCCCCTCCGTCCTCGCCGTTCTATTTCACGTTCCGAAGTAGTGTTCCAAGGTTGCGATATGCACTCGGGAACGGATGATGTTGAACGAGCTTCAATGCGGTCATCATTACGATGTAACACTTTTTGTTGAAATCTTTATAACATTTCATTAATCTGTTTGTTATTTAAGTTAGGAGAAAAATTTTTCGCGAATAATTCCTGACATCGGAATGTGATCAAGATGTATAATTCATGAAATGAATATTATATAATATTTATATAAAGATCGATTTACTTTGTCGCTCTTACGAATTTTATACCGCGTATTCAAAGTCAGTTTACAATATGAATTCTATACGTGAAACATGTTCTTTCGAGATTATTGACTTATGAGTACTTTGTCACAAGTTAAGCTGGTGTGATCACGGTGGCGTGCTACTCCATTGGATGCATTGATAAATAGCCCATTAGGAAATTAAAAGTCCAGCGACTGTTGAAAAGACGGGGGGAGGGTGGGTGGCTTCGTTCCGTTTCGTCCGCGAAAGCGCGTTCTCTGTTACGACTATAGTCATTACTCCCGTCTGAGCCGAAACGAAATATTCCTCCGGGAAATACAACATAAAACCACTTAAGAGTATCGGCCTCTCGTTGGCTTTGCTCTTTCAGTTCCGGTCCCTTTCATTCGAGTCATAATAATCATGACGCATCAAATACCGGTTGCGGCGGCTGATGCAAGTTTCTTCTCCGCCGTGCATGCCGTGCAAAAAACTGGACGAAATTACCGGTATATCAGCGAGATTCTGATCAATGACACAAGGATGTGAATAATATAAGTTGCAGTGAAAAAATTATATTAGTCTTTAGAATGCTAGCGATAGATATAAATTAGCGGAAATATTATAATTGCGGGTTTTTACGCATAATAATTTTATCATGCGGAGAAATCAAATTTTCGCAGTCGTTATTAAAATATAACTATTTATTAGAAATTTTAAATCTAGTTTTTTTTTTGTCTTTTTCTGTTATTATTTATTGAGAAAGAATGGAAACGAGAGAGATTAAGTATTTATGAAAAAAAAGGCAATGTAGAATAAAAGATGGAAAAAAAGATGAAAAAATACAAGTACAGAGAAGCTAGAAGTCCGCTGATGCGTTAGTGAGATATCGCGCGAATCGAAAGGACTCGACGATAACTCTACTAATATCGAATATTTCGAAAGTTTTGTTACTCCCGCACTCTCCTCTTCGTTCCTCTGCGTAGTAAACGAGGGAATGGCTGTGCTTCCGAGGTGTTTCACGTGCCTGTTGCGTTGCAGAAGCTTGCGCGACGAGGCGTCTCGCGCGCGCGCGCGCTTGTATATTAAATGGTGTTCACGGTTCACCAGTCAAATTGAATCCCGGGCTATTGGCAGATTCTCAATAAGCTTCAACAATGGACTCTGTTACACGAGCCTCACGTCTTCCCCCCTTCCCTTCTGCTCTTTCTGCTTCCCTCCGTTTCGCCATCCAGCATCCATACTTTCGTTCAGCACGTTTTCGCATTTCCTTCCAGAAACGTATCTACCATATTCACTACATTTTGCGCAGCTGAGGTTTCAATTTTACAATTTGAGATTCTTAAAGTTAATTGACAAAATACGTGAGCAGAGAATTGTGAATTTCAATAATATTTTAAAACTATATTACTTATATTTGAAAATAATCTATATTTAAAGCATTAATTTATTTTGCCGTGTAACGCAAAAAAAAAACAAGCACCAGGCAATAATTCTATTAGAACAAAAAGATAAAAATATCATTTTTCACCGTGATTACATGTTATCATTGTTATTACAGACAACAAAAGACGACATTTTTTCCTCACGTCTTTCAGATGTCTTTAAGCATGCGTGATTGTCTGGGTACAATAATAACGCAACTTTATCATTTTTGTAATGTAAGTTTTTATCTATTTAATCACGTGTATTTTTTAGACGCTTAAAGTTGAATCATTTTCAAACCGCTGATAAAACTCGGCAAAAAATTATTGCAGACAAAAAATTGAAAAAGCATTATAAAGTTTAAAGTTTATATTTTTACGTTTATATTTTTACGCTTTAAGCTGTTTTTTTTTTTAATGTTTTGTTTTTACAGTTTTAAACCCGAAAAGAGAACACATTATTTTGTTCCTTAAAAATATGTATTTTTAACACTCTGCAGCCCGATAAAAATTTTTCTCGCAAAATTTATGACAAGTGCCAAAAACTACAACATTTTACCTACAAAATGCGTTTCTTTTTTAAATTTTACCTGCGCTGATTTTCCGCCAAGTTTTAGCGGTTTGAAAATTATTCAATTTACTTTGAGGATCCGAAAGGTGTTTTCTATCTTTGTGGATTAATATACAAGGATTTAAAAATTACACAAACAATTAAATTAATGAAAACGGAAGCGAGGATAAGAATAAGAAGAAAAAAATCAAGTCAGAGAGAATTCAGACGAAATTTTTACGCGTAGTCGACATTTCGTCCGCCGATATACGCGAAGAACGGATAGCGCGTGCATTGTCCGGACGAGGTTAAGAGGGTTAGACCGAGTTAGGGGATGTCCTGGGTAGGGTTGAAGAGATAGGAGGGTAGGGTATCGGTGTAATGAAGAGCGACAGTGGCGCCCACAGCCATCGCTAATTTGCCGCTAAGTGCCCGGCTTTGTTTCCGTACGCTGATCCCATCGTTCGCAATATCCTGGATCCAAGGCGACGTTCTACGGTGTTTAAGAGAGAAAGCCAAATAACCTGCGGTATTACCCGGCAATCCAGTATAGATCGAACTTGGATGGAAAAGGAATGACATTGGAGCAAATACACCCAATAGAAGAAATAAAAAGTTACGAGATAATATTCCTCTTAATATTAGCATCTATTCAATAGTTAAATCGCTAAGAAAAATATAACTAGCCAAACATTAAAAGAAAGATTATCAAAGACCATCCAAAAATACGTCAAAGTTTGTAATCTGAAAGATTCAAGTGTTACTTTAGCAATCAACACTATTTTATAATTTTATATGCAGCGACAAAATAAATTTTAACGATAACACTGAAAAAAATTCATGTCCAAAAATTTCTTTATCGGACTGCGTAGATTAGTAAAAAATTGTTAATTATTAATTACTCAAAACTGTGCATAAAATTGCGAGTAACTATTTTACGAAGCTACATCAATTAAAAATTATGCAGTTTATAGACGTCGATAGATAGATATATATATATATCTACAAAACTATATTTATTTAATTTTAAACCTATATCAATATTATTGCAGAAGCAAATCAGTATGCACAAAAAATATGCCATGCGTGGGAACTATAAGTAATTAAATTATCTAACATCAGTTCTCTTCCTTATTTATGTGGTTGCTAATATAAATTTGCGCTTGACTTCTAAGGACTTGAATAGATAAGGCGAAACGAAACTAGCTAATATGTTTCTCAATATATATATATATATATATATATATATATATATATATATATATATATATGTTTCTTACTATTAGAAGTATCAAACATACTTCGTCAGAAATGATCCGAGCTGGCTGGTCTTCGAAAGCTCGATTGTCTTATTTTATGTACCGATCAGTACTCTTTTGCGTTTCTTCCTTTTGTCGGAAGAATGAATTTTGCGAGAGTGAGAGAGAGTTTCATTCCACGATTTTGCACATTTCATACCGTTCTGAGAATTATTGCATCTCTGCTCCGAAATCGGGGCCAATTAGATACTACTATTTCTTAGAATCCGATTTGTTACTATCCCGACGGTATCACATATTGTCGCTTGTTTACATTATATCGTCTCGACGCGACAACAACTTTATTGGTGCAAATTTGCTTATCATAACCAATATATCCTTGATTCGAATGTTCACGATAAACGTTTTTATGAATTTCAAACGTCCCACCCCCTTTCCCTCACTCCTCCGCATCTAACCACAACCTACACAGTGAATATTATATTTTTCGATTACATTTATACTTTATCTTACTTATCACGCGCAAGGCTTAATGATGCTGTCTTACGTAATACGACACGTCAATTCGCGTCGAGCGTATAAAAGACAGCAAACGCTTGCAGCAGCAAGTCATTCGTATACTCGCAGTCTAACGATATTTAGTTAAAAGTACTGTCGCGTGACTGCTCGCGTAAGGTCTCGCCCTCATCATGGAAACATGGATATTACTGTCCATCTTAGCTGGCACCATCGCTATATACCACTTTTTCTTTAAGGGTTTAAACTTTTTCAAGAAACATGGAATTCTTCATATACCACCGTGGCCTGTTGTGGGTAACATGGGACCAGCCTTTCTCCGCCAATTGTCATTGGCCGAACTCGTTGGAAAAATCTATAATTTAAATCAAGACGCCAAATATGTTGGTTTCTTCGACGGCATGAATCCAGTAGTGGTGATTCGCGATCCGGATATCATCAAGTCCATCGGCGTGAAAAATTTCGAGATGTTTCCTGATCATCGCAGCTTTATAGACGAAGTTAATGATCCCCTATTTGGCAAAAATCTTTTTTCACTTCGCGGTGAAAAGTGGCGAGACGTGAGAACATTATTGAGTCCAGCTTTTACATCTAGTAAAATGAAAACTATGTTCCAATTGATGTCAGATTGTGGCGCCAATTTTGCTGACTTTCTTGTTAACTTGCCGTCGGATAAAAGTATTATTGAAATGAAGAATTGTTTCACCAGATATACGAATGATGTGATCGCGACTTGCGCATTCGGAATTAGCGTCGATTCTATGAGAAATCCCGACAACGAATTTTACGTTTACGGAAAGGAAGCTACATCTTTTGACACTGTGCGCACCATAAAATTCTACCTTGTTAGAAGTATGCCTTATATTACAAAAATGTTGGGCCTTAAATTTGTCAACGACCATATAGGCCGATTTTTCAAGAATCTTGTAAGAAGCATGATACAGACCAGAGATGAGCAGAACATCGTGCGACCGGACATGCTGCAATTAATGATGGAGAGCAGAGGAAAAAGAGGACCCGGAAAGGAACTAACAATTGAGGACATGACCTCGCAAGCGTTTATCTTCTTTTTTGGTGGTTTCGACACTGTTTCCACCTTAATGTGCTTTGCCGTTCACGAAATCGCTGTCAATCCGAATATTCAAGCAAAACTGCGCGACGAGATCGATCAAGTTCTTAAAACAACAAATGGAGATTTGACTTATGAAGCAGTGAATGGAACGCAATATTTGGATGCTATCATCAACGAGACTCTTAGAGTATGGCCTGTAGCTGTATTCCTCGATAGAATATGCGCGCAAGATTTCGAGTTACCTCCAGCGCTTCCTGGAGACAAACCTTTCGTTATTAAAAAAGGAAGGAGTGTTTGGTTCCCTGTTTACGGTCTTCATCGAGATTCAAAGTACTTCGAGAGACCGAACGAGTTTGATCCCGATCGCTTTTTGGATGAAAATAGGAAAAATATGAATATGGCTGCTTATATTCCGTTTGGACTCGGCCCAAGAATGTGTATAGGCAACAGATTTGCACTGTTGGAAACCAAAGTCATGATATTTCATTTATTGGCCCGTTGCGAATTGAAACCATGCGCGAAAACAACTCATCCGATGCGATTGAATAAGGCGAGTCTTACTATGTTGGCGGAAGGGGGATTCTGGTTAAAGATTGAAAAAAGAAGTAATTCTTATATTGATACACTTGTCAAGAATGTTAAAAATGGTGTAGCTAATGGTTCAACAAATAAATGAAATTTTTATTGAAGAGATATTTTTTTATATTTTTGACAATTTTTTCAGCATTTCTACTAGTTTGTAAAATAATATGAAATTTTGTTGCATATGTTTAGTTACATTTTATGATAATTTTACATATTATATCATAAAAGATTCCATATTTGTATTATTCGATGAAATTTGCATGTACATTCGATTGCAAAAAATAGTAATACTGTTTTTTCATATTTTTTCGAATACCCAAAAAAGACTGTTTTTTGTATTTCTGTGTTTGGAGAAAAATATTACAATTTTTTTGTAACGGACTGTACATATCTAATTGTTTATTTTATTTTAATTATTGATAGATAATGGTATCTTTACTTAGTTGTCCTGTGCCTTAATATTGCATTTTGCACTGCCTATTACAATCACGTAGATGTAATATTAAAAATATTTAACTTTACTATTTCTGTGTATAATATATTTCTTGTATATAACATTTTTTTCCTTTTTTTTCATATTACTACATTTTGCAAAAATTATAAATAGTATATGTATAATACAGACACGTAAGATTAAGATATTTGAACTGTAAGAAACTAAAGTATGATTGATGTAAAGTATGATTGATGAAAATAATAATTATTATACGATTCTCAACTTTAGTCGCTGATACAGCGTATTATATAACAGTTAAATTAATTAAATATTTAGCAGAATAATATATTTTCAGATACGCGATAACATGGTCGCTTTTTTACGCCTTGCGCGTAAACTTGGCGCGAGACACGGCCGTGTCTCTTGATAAATCAAGTTATAAATGTAATCAGTCAATGATTAGATAAAGAAAGTGGACACAAAAATTATTAAAAATCACACAGTTTATAGATGTCGATAGATAGATACATATATATCTACAATATTCTGTTTTTATTTGATTTTAAAACTATATCAATATTATTGCAGATGCAAATCAATAAGCGCAAAAAGTATGCCACGTCTGGGAACTATAAGTAGTAAAATTATCTAACATCTCTTTCTTATTTATGTTAACGGTTACAATAGTTACTAATATTCTTAATAGTTACCAATTTTCCGTCCGATTTTGATGGCTACGGATAAGTAAACTGAATAGAAACTAGCCAATGTATTTATCAATATATGTACAATATATATTATATATATATATATATGTTTATTGCTATTAGAAGTATCAAAAATATCTCGTTAGAAATGTTTCGAGCATGCCTGCCTTCAAAAACTCGATCGTCTAATTCCACGTTCCGGTTGGTTTTCTTCTCTTTTGCGTATTTTCTTTTCTGACGGACGAATTCTGCGAGAGAGAATTTTATACCGATTTGTTCACGATTTTGGACATTTTGTACCATTCTGAGAATTGTCGCATTTTCGCTCCGAAATCAGAGCCAATTAGATACTGCTGTTTCTCAGAATCCGATTTGTTGCTATTCCGACGGTAGGGATCACATTTTGTCGCTCAATTACACTATACCGTTTCGGTACGACAACTTTAGGCAAATTTGCTGATTATAACAAATATATCCTTGGCCCGAAGGTTCGCAATAAACGGCAATTGCCGGTGATTATATTTTTCGCTTATACTTATACTTTTCATAATCGTGCAAGGCTTAGTCACACGCTCTCTTACGTAAGTCGAGACGTCAATCTGTGTCGAGCATATAAAAGGAAGCAAATGCTTGCAGCAGTCAGTCACTCGCGCACTCCCGATCAAGCGATCTCCAGTCAAAACAACTGTCGCGTGACTGTTCACGAAACGTCTCGTCGTCATGGAAACATGGATATTATTGTTTATCTTAGCTGGCACCATCGCTATATACCGCTATTTCTTTAAGGATTTAAACTTTTTCAAGAAACATGGAATTCTGCACATACCACCGTGGCCTGTTTTGGGTAATATGGGACCAACTTTTCTCCGCCAATTATCATTGGCCGAACTCGTTGAAAAAATCTACAATATAAATCAAGACGCCAAATATGTTGGTTTCTTCGATATCATGAATCCAGTGGTGATGATTCGCGATCCGGATATTATCAAGTCCATCGGCGTGAAAAATTTCGAGATGTTTCCCGATCATCGCACTTTTATAGACGAAAATAGTGACCCTTTAATTGGTAAAAATCTTTTTTCACTTCGCGGTGAAAAGTGGCGAGACGTAAGAACATTATTGAGTCCAGCTTTTACATCTAGTAAAATGAAAGTTATGTTCAAGTTGATGTCAGATTGTGGCGCCAATTTTGCTGATTTTCTTGTTAGCTTGCCTTCGGATAAAAGTATTACTGAAATGAAGGACTGTTTCACCAGATATACGAATGATGTGATCGCGACTTGCGCATTCGGAATTAGTGTTGATTCTATGAGAAATCCCGACAACGAATTTTACGTTAACGGAAAGGAGGCTACATATTTTAACATTCTGCGCGCCATAAAAATTTACTGTATTAGAAGTATGCCTTTTATTACAAAAATGTTGGGCATTAAATTTATCAACGATCGTATAGGCGGATTTTTCAAGAATCTTATAAAAAGCACGATACAGACCAGAGATGAGCAGAATATCGTGCGACCGGACATGCTGCAATTGATGATGGAAAGCAGAGGAAAAAGAGGACCCGGAAAGGATCTAACAATTGAGGACATAACTTCGCAAGCGTTTATCTTCTTTCTTGGTGGTTTCGATACTGTTGCTACCTTGATGTGTTTTGCTGCCCACGAAATCGCTGTCAACCCGAATGTTCAAGCTAAACTGCACGACGAGGTTGATCAAGTTCTCAAGGCAACGAATGGAGATTTGACTTACGAATCGGTGAATGGAATGCAGTATTTGGATGCTGTCATCAACGAGACTCTTCGATTGTGGCCTGTGCAAGTATTCGTCGATAGATTGTGCGTGCAAGATTTCGAATTACCTCCAGCACTTCCTGGAGACAAACCTTTCGTTATTAAAAAAGGAATGAATGTTTGGTTCCCTGTTTACGGTCTTCATCGAGATTTAAAGTACTTCGAGAGGCCGAACGAGTTTGATCCCGATCGCTTTCTGGATGAAAATAAGAAAAATATAAATATGGCTGCTTATATTCCGTTTGGAATCGGTCCAAGAATGTGTATAGGCAACAGATTTGCATTGTTGGAAACCAAAGTCTTGATATTTCATTTATTAGCCCGTTGCGAACTAAAACCATGTGCGAAAACAACTTATCCTATGCGATTGAGTAAGACAAGTTTTGTTATGCAGGCGGAAGGCGGATTCTGGTTAAAGATTGAAAAAAGAAGTAATGCTTATATTGATACATTTGCCAACATTGTTAAAGATGGCTAATGGTTCCAACAAATTAATGATATTTTTATTGAAGAGATCTTTTTATATTCTTGATAATTTCATCATTTTCAATCAATTTTATCAGCATTATTATTAATGTATAAAATAATATGAAATTTTGTTACATGTGTTTAGTCATGTGTTATGAATAGTTTTATATTATTTCATAAAACATTCTATATTTGTATTATTGGATGAAATCTGCATGTACATTTGTTTTCGAAAAATAGCAATACTCTTTTTTTCATACCTTTTCCAAAATATCGTAATACTCTTTCTTGTACAATATTTCTGTGTTTGGAGAAAAATGTTACATTTTTTTGTAACGGACTTTACATATCTAATTGTTTATTTCAATCTAATTATTGATTGATAATGATATCTTTGTTTAATTGTTTTATGCCTTAGTATTGCTTTTCGCATCGCAATTGCAATTATCGTGCATTTAATATTTTACTATTTCTATGTAGAATTTATTTTTTATATGTTACATTGTTTTCCTTTTTTCCATATTACAAGCTATATTTTGCCAAAATTGTAAATAGTACATGTATAATGCGGACATGTAAGAAAAAGATATTTGATCTGCGAGAAACTAAAATATGATTGATGTAACGATAATTATTATTGTTAACTCTAGTCTCTGATATAGTGTATTTTATAACAATTAATTTAATTAAATATTTATCAGAATAGTATATTTTTAGGTATGGGATAACACGGTCGCTTTTTTGCACGTGAACTTGACGCGAGACACGACCATGTCTCTTGATAAATCAAGTTTAAAACAATTATAAATGTAATCATTCGATGATTAAGTAAGGAAAGTAAACATAGTGCCATATTTTAGAATTTTATTTATAGACATAAAAATATCAATTAAAAATTACGCATTTTATAGATGTCAATAAATAGATACATATATATTTATGATAGTATGTTTATTTTTAAAACTATATCAATATTATTGCCGAAGCAAATCTCAGTACGTACAAAAAGTATGCCACGTGTGGAAACTATAAATAATTAAATAATCTAACATCAGTTCTCTTTCTTATTTATAATATGTAGGTGGCCGCAATAGTTACTAATAAATTTTTCCGCTCGATTTTTATGGATTTGGATAGGTAAGGCGAGTAGAAACCAGCCAATGTATTTCTTAATATATATATGTCTATTGCTGAAATTTAAATTTAAATATTAATATTTAAAATTCAAATATTAGAAATATAAAAAATACCTCGTTAGAGATATTTCGAGTTGGCCTGTCTTCGACTGCTCGATCGTTTTACTCCACGTTCCGGTTGGTCCTGTTCTTTTTTGCGTCTCTTTTTTTTGTCTGAAGGACGAATTCTGCGATAGAGAGAGAGAGAGAGTTTTGTTCCACGATTTTAGACATTTTATACCGTTCTGAGAATTATCGCATTCGTGCTCCGAAATCAGGGCCGATTAGAAAGTGCTGTTTCTCAGAATCCGGTTTGTTGCTATTCCGACGGTAGGGATCACATTTTGTTGCTCGGCTACAATATACCGTTTCGGCGCGACAACAATTTTCCTGAGGCAAATTTGTTAATCATAATAGATATATCCTTGGCTCGAACGTTCGCGATAAACGTTTTTGTGAATGTTGCCGTTTTCGGTGATCTTCTCCTTCCACACAGAGTGAATATTATATTTTTCGCTTATGTTCATACATTTCATAATCGCGCTTGGTTTACAGCTAGTCAGACGCTCTGTTACGTAAGATATGACGTCAGTCCGCGTCGGGCATATAAAAGAAACACACGCTGCTTGTAGCAGCTAGTCACTCGTAGGCTCACGAGTCTAGATAAAACAACCGTTACGTGACTGTTCACGAAACATTCCGTCGTCATCATGGAAACTTGGATATTATTGTCTATCTTAGCTGGCACTATCGCTATATACCATTATTTCTTTAAGGGTTTGAACTTTTTCAAGAAACATGGAATTCTTCATATACCACCGTGGCCTGTTGTGAGTAACTTGGGACCAGTTTTTCTTCGTCAATTGCCATTGGCCGAACTCGTTGGAAAAGTCTACAATTTAAATCAAGACGCCAAATATGTTGGTTTCTTCGACGGCATGAATCCAGTAGTGGTGATTCGCGATCCGGATATCATCAAGTCCATCAGCGTGAAAAATTTCGACATGTTTCCCGAACATCGCAGTTTTATAGATGAAGATAGTGAACCTCTATTTGGCAAAAATCTTTTTTCACTTCGCGGTGAAAAGTGGCGAGACGTGAGAACATTATTGAGTCCAGCTTTTACATCTAGCAAAATGAAAGCTATGTTCAAGTTGATGTCGGATTGCGGTGCAAATTTTGCTGACTTTCTTGTTAGCTTGCCTTCGGATAAAAGTATTACTGAAATGAAGGACTGTTTCACCAGATATACGAATGATGTGATCGCGACTTGCGCATTCGGAATTAGCGTTGATTCTATGAGAAATCACGACAACGAATTTTACGTTTTTGGAAAGGAAGCTACAACTTTTGGCGTTCTGCGCACCATAAAATTCTATCTGATTAGAAGTTTGCCTTTTACTATAAAAATGTTCCGCATTAAATTGATCGACGACCACATAGTCGAATTTTTCAAGAATCTTGTAAGAAGTACGATACAGACTAGAGATGAACAGAATATCGTGCGACCGGACATGCTGCAATTGATGATGGAGAGCAGAGGAAAAAGAGGACCCGGAAAAGAACTAACAATTGACGACATGACCGCGCAGGCATTTATTTTCTTCTTTGGTGGTTTCGAAACTGTTTCTACCTTGATGTGTTTTGCTGCCCACGAAATCGCTGTCAATCCGAGTGTTCAAGCAAAATTGCACGACGAGATCGATCAAGTTCTCAAGACAACGAATGGAGATTTGACTTACGAATCGGTGAATGGAATGCAGTATTTGGATGCTGTCATCAACGAAGCTCTCAGATTGTGGCCTGTGCAAGTATTCGTCGATAGATTGTGCGTACAAGATTTTGAGTTACCTCCAGCGCTTCCTGGAGACAAATCTTTTGTTGTTAAAAAAGGAAGGAGTATTTGGTTCCCTGTTTACGGTCTTCATCGAGATCCAAAGTACTTCGAGAGACCGAACGAGTTTGATCCCAATCGCTTTCTGGATGAGAATAAAAAAAATATGAATTTGGCTGCTTATATTCCGTTTGGAATCGGTCCAAGAATGTGTATAGGCAACAGATTTGCATTGTTAGAAACCAAAGTCTTGATATTTCATTTATTAGCCCGTTGCGAATTGAAACCATGTGCGAAAACAACTCATCCAATGCGATTGAATAAGGCGAGTTTTCCTATGATGGCGGAAGGGGGATTCTGGTTAAAGATTGAAAAAAGAAGTAATACTTATATTGATACATTTGCCAACATTGTTAAAGATGGCTAATGGTTTATCAAATTAATGATATTTTTATTTATATTTTTTTTATATTCTTGACAATTACATCATTTCCAATCAATTTCATCAGCATTATTATTAGTGTATAAAATAATATGAAATTTTGTTACATGTGTTTAGTCACGTTTTATGAATAGTTTTACATTACATCATTCCATATTTTACATAAAACATTCCATATTTGTATTATTGGATGAAATCTGCACGTACATTTGATTGCAAGAAGTAGCAATACTTTTTTTTCATATTTTTTCGAATACTGAAAAATTGTACGATGTTTTTATATTTCTGTGTGTTTGAAAAAGAATGTTACATTTTTTTTTTTTTGGTAACGGAGTGTTACATATCTAATTGTTTATTTCATTCTTATTATTGATGGATAATGATATCTTTGGTTAATTGTTCTATACCTTAATATTACATTTCGCATCGTAATCGCAATCACCGGATTTAATATGTAATTATTTCTTTTTTGTATATTACACTGTATGCAGCATTGTTTTCCTTTTTTTCATATTACAAGCTACATTCTGCCAAAATTGTAAATAGTACATGTATAATGCGGACGTGTAAAAAAAAGGTCATTGAACTGCGAGAAACTAAAGTATGATTGATGTAACGATAATTATTATTCTTAACTCATGTCGCTGATACAGTGCATTAAATTAATTAAACGTTTATCAGAATAGTATATTTTCAGATATATGTGATAATAAAAATCAAGCAAAACAATTATAAATGTAATCAATCAATGATTAGATAAGAAAAATGGATCAAGTGTAATATTTAATCTTTGATTTAAAGGCATGATTAAAAACATTAATCGTTAAGATCATTTCTTTTATAAAAGATTACGTAAGTTTGTTGAACTACTTGTATGCATAATGATGCTGTTTGCTGTTGATGCGTTAGTATCTCGACGTATAGATGAGCATAAATTTCATGAAGTCTATATGTTATTACATATTTCCTAATTATTACATTTTGCGCTGCACCTGCTTTATGATGTGTAAATGTATTTTTATGTCACCGGCATTGTGTTATTATTTATAATTATTTATAATTTATTATTTTAATATCAAGTAAGCACTTTGTATTAACCATAGACAATAATCTTTATTCGAAAATAAAGTTTACGATATAATTTTATCAAATCTTGAATAATTTGCTGTGCGAAATTGTTGTGCAAAGTTACGATATCGTTATCGACGATATCAACGAAAAACATTTTATATCAAGAATAAACGGAGATAATAAAAAAACAAATGAGTGAAAAATTTAGTCTTGTATATATAATATATTTCTTTAATTTACTCTACTTTGTAAGATTATTTTATTCTTTTGGAAATATTATTAAATGATGCAAACGCACATATAAGAAATAGATATCTGAGCTGCTAGAAATCAAAATATGATTGATGTAGTAAAGATGACTATTATTCTCAATTCTAGTCACTGACAGCGCATTATCGAGCAGTTAAATTAATTGGATAATAGTCAGAATGATATATTCGAAAGACAGAATGGTGAGTCAAGATCAAACTTCGACATATAAAATTCGCGCGGAGTGATATTTTATCGCAAGATACGTCTAGCATAATTAGCCATGTCCTTAAGATTATATCCGCGTATGAAATAACTTATAAAATAACAAAATTTTTTTTATCAAATCTAATAGCTAATCTATTGTATAAATTCTTATATCCGGGTTTTAAATAAACATTAATATTATAAATAAGATTATTCTTCTGTTGTTAAACAATAGTTAAGATAGTTTGACACATCGAATTTATAATTTATATGTTTCAAAGGAAAATTAAAAAAGTGTGTTCAATAAAAATTTAACAAAAATATGACGTAATATCTCGTAAATTATATTGTCTACATAGATGACATTGAATATAGTTTACATTGTGTATTTGCAGATGAATATAAACTAATTTATGCGTAAATGCTCGAGCCGTACATATATGAGTGCATACATGAGTTAAATTTTTGGAAATAATACATCACAAAATATCAGCAAGTGGATAATCCATAATAAGATAAGATATTGTTTATTCGTACCAACAGTTGGTACGTTATATAAGACAGCTTGGAAGTTGCGTCAGAAAGATTTGTGTCTATATTATGAGGCAGAGGCAGTTGCAGAATTAGTTGTGCGTAGCGGCTTGCGCTAACAGCATCGCTAGTGCGCTAAATCGTTATCGATCACTTGTTATCATTTGTGAATAGATTCTGTTAAAATTTGTAAACAAAACTTACCATGGAATACTGGTCGATACTGTTATCGATTATAATCGGTGCTCTCAGCATTCATTATCTTTTTAGAAACTTTAATGTGTTTAAACGACATGGTCTTCTCCACATACCGCCTTTTCCAATACTAGGCAATATGACATCGATTATATTTCGCCGAGTATCGTTTGCCGATTTTAGTCTGACACTGTATAATACGTATCCAGACGCAAAGTACTTTGGATTCTACGCTACAACAAATCCAATCATCTTGCTTCGCGACCCGGAACTTATTAAAACGGTTCTTGTGAAGAATTTTGATGCATTTCCTGATCGCCGTGGTTTGCGCGATTTAAATGAACCTTTGTTTGCAAATAATTTATTTTCTCTTCACGGGGAAAAATGGCGAAACATCAGGAATCTATTGAGCCCTTCCTTCACGTCCAGCAAGATGAAAACCATGTTCACCTTGATGTCGGAGTGTGCTGCGGATTTCGTCAAATTTCTATCAACACTGCCAACGGACAAAAGTGATTTGGATATGAAAGACGCCTTTACTAAATACACGAACGACGTCATTGCAACGTGTGCTTTCGGAATCAAGATCGATTCTATGAAGGATCCAACGAACAAGTTCTACGTTAACGGCAAAGAAGCGACTAACTTTTTATCAGGACTCCGCACTATCAAATTTCTATTTCTCAGAACATTTCCGAAGCTCGGGGCACTACTCAATATAAAACTTATAGACAATTACGTGTCGACTTTTTTCAAAGACATAATACAGACCACAATTGACACTCGTGACGCCGAACATATTACTCGTCCAGATATGATACAATTGATGATGGATATCAGAGGTAAAGAAGGTCGGAGACAACTGGATATCGACGATATGGTAGCACAGGCGTTCATCTTTTTCTTCGGCGGCTTCGACACCAGTTCAACCGCAATGTGCTTTGCGGCTCACGAAATCGCGGCTAACCCAGATGTTCAGGCAAAGTTACGACAAGAAATCGATAATGTTTTGGAGGAATCAAATGGGGAAGTGACTTATGAAATTATTAATCGACTCGAATATTTAGACGCGGTGATAAACGAAGCTTTAAGAATGTATCCACCGGTCGCCTTTTTGGAAAGATTATGCGACAGAGATTATGAATTACCACCTACCTTGCCGGGCGAAAAGCCGTTCATCATGAAAAAGAACATGAATTTTTGGATTCCGGTTTTCTCGATCCATCAAGATGAAAAGTACTATGAAAATCCGAAACAATTTAATCCGGAAAGGTTTTACAACAACAAGACATATCACAACACATCGCATTATATACCATTCGGATTAGGACCGAGAATGTGCATAGCCAACAGATTTGCCTTGCTGGAGGTCAAAGTTGTGCTGTTTTATCTGTTAGCGAAGTGTGAGCTAAAACCTTGCAAAAAAACATCATTACCACTAAAATTCAGCAAGACAGGTCTGGTAATGATGCCGGAGGGTGGATTCTGGTTAAATATTCAAGGTAGAAAGGATGTAAAGGTTAATAACGTTTCCAATTCTTAGAAAATATTTCGAGCAGTTATAGTGATGTATTGTAATAATATTTAATATAATATAATATTATTATAATTATTTCTTTTATTAAAATTAATTGAATAAAATATTAATAATTATTATTATTGCAAAAACTAGAAAGTAGCAAAGGTAGAATTCATATCATGCAAACTAAAACAATTTGCCTTTGTTGAAGATCGAATTTACGATTTGCACGTTTTTCTTTAGTCTTGTACTTTTATATATTTGTACAGGTGCAGAATTCGAATAAATTAAAATAGTAACAATATTACAATTAATGGAACATTATATAATTATATAATTATTTTTTTCAAATAACACATGTATAATAAAAATTATAATAAACATTTGTTTTTTTTTAAATGCTTTTTTCTTGCTTCTAATTTTGCAAAATTAGGTATTAATTGATATTATAATTGACTTTTCATTAAATAATTAATTTGTGTTTCATTAACCTTGTTATAACACGAGAATATATTTTACACACAATTACATTCACTAGTTCTCAGATATCACGTCATATAGCCGCTTTATGTAATTTATAAGAACAAAGTTTTATAATCTTATTGCATTGATACATACGTATCTCTAATATATGTGTTTTAATAACACAAAATTGCACACAATTTACTATTCATGTAATAATCGGTTTATCGGGATTCCTTAATTATAACATGCGATGTATCGACTCAGTAAAACGCTAATAATATAATGCAATTTCAAGTAAAAAAAAACAACTGATACGTAAATGTTAAGCATCTAAGAAAATTATTGTAGGATTGGGAAGAAAATGCAATCAATTTAATTGTTGCTACTATTTTTCATTGATTTTACACTAAAACTCGCTTGTTGCAGGTCGCGTAAATGTGTGTATGTGAGACTTGTGTTTGTTGCAACGAAAACACAAAGTGTCGAGATGACGGTCGGCAGTCGCTGGCAAAGAGTCGGAGTGAGACAGTCGTTAGCCAGAGTCGTTAGACGAGAGCCGTAAGACAGAGTCGATCTAGAGAGCGAGTGAGAAAGCGACAAGCTCGAGTGAGTGAGTTGACGAGTGAGCGTTGCGATCTGTACGATTACGAGATCTGTTTTTTATTATCGTTTACATTAAATCAAATTCATTTTAATATTAAACGGGAGAGCTTATTTTTATTTATTTCACCAATAAACCCACATTATTGTATTAGTATTTTTAAGAAATGTGCAGCAAGAGATAACATAAAACAGATGGTTTAGAGTCGTATTTATAATCTTTATTTCTTCAATTCCTGATTTTTTTTCGATAAGTCTCTTTCCAACAACGATAAGACATGATATTTTCTTACACACACATTTCGGAAATCTGAAAATAATTGCTTTCGTCTGAAATAGTCTCGTTACAAACTATTTATTATAAATTAATTCTGTTAAACTTGTAGTGTACATATTTTTTCGTGAAAAAGACATGAGACTAAATAGTATTATAATAGTTTTCTTTCAGTTATGAATTCTTAGCTTATATTTTTGTGATTTGCTTTTATTTTAAATAAATTGCAATTTTATGCAATTCTTGATTACATCACAAGATGTAAGTACAGATTTTGTTGTCGTGGCTGTTGACTATTTTATTCATGTAATGCATTATGGATAAAGCTCGGTCATTCTCAGACAATTAATTATTTAAATTATAAGGACTGTAATAACAAAATATATTTAAGTAATGTGAATATTAATATACTCAATACAGCATTACGTATCAAAGTACGACAATCAATTACTGCCGACGAGGCTATAATTTTTTTTTGGTGCATGATGCATGCAAGCAAAAGGTTGCGCAATATGCGGTTATTATTTTACGCATACAATTTCAAGTGACATATTATATCTACGTGTTCAACGAGATGTATTAAATTCGTGGAAACTCATTCAGTACATTTATATCAGATGTAAATGCCTGTAATTTTTATCTTCTTATTTTGATAATATCTACAACAAAAAAACACGTTTTATATAATTATAATATTCTTACGTAAATCGAATTAACCCTCATAATTGATTTTCATCATCATAAAAAGTTTTAAAAAAGTGAAAAGGACTCATTATACAAAATTTGCATGATGAAATAACTTGAAAAACTAATGATTATTAATAATTAAATACATAAATATGACTTTTACTCAAATGTATACAAAAATATGTCTGTCTAGTTCTACATTTTTCAAAAATCTAATTAAGCTAAGAAAATTTTCTTAGAATTTTTATATCTTTTTTGTAATAGTGTGATGTGGATTTTTCCTCGGTACTACGTTCAGCCAGAAACCTCCTTCTGGTTTCATATTAAAACCGTCTTTAGCGATTTTGAGCGGTATCGATGTTTTCTCGTAAGGCTTCAGATCACAACGTGCCAGCAGATGAAAGAGAAGGACCTTTGTTTCTAACAATGCGAACCTATTGCCTATACACATTCTTGGACCCAATCCGAAAGGCAGATAAGCTCCGCAGTGGAGAGAGTTATTCTTTCGCTCTCCAAGAAACCGCTCGGGATCGAATTTTTCCGGCTCCTCGAAGTATTTAGGATCATGATGAAGTCCATAAACTGGTATCCATATACCGTCTCCTTTTTTTAAGGTAAAAGGCTTTATTCCTGGTAAGGTAGGTGGTAATTCAAAGTCTTCTACGCATGCTCTATCTAACGCCACGCCAACCGGATACATTCTGAGAGCTTCGTTGATGACAGCGTCTAAGTATTCCATACTGTTCACCGCTTCGTAAGGTGCTTGTCCATTCGTCTTTTCCAAGACCTCATCGATTTCATTTTGAAGTCTTTCTTGTACATCTTGATTCACCGCAATTTCATGCGCGGCAAAGCACATTAAAGTCGAAGTGCTTTCAAAGCCGCCGAAAAAGAAAATAAACGCTTGCGACACCATATCTTCGATAGTCAGTGCTGCTTTACCTTCTTTGCCTCTGCTTTCCATCATCAGCTGCAGCATATCTGGTCGAACGATACCTTTCTCATCCCTGGTTTTTATCGTATCCTTCACAAGGTCTCGGAAGAAATTTCCTATTTTTTCACGTACAAATCTCAATCGGAGTATTCGTGCTAGCCAAGGCAAACTTCTAAATATATAGAATTTCAAGAACATAAGAGCGCTGAAAACGGTTGCTTCTCTGCCGTACACATAGAATTCGTTCTTCGGATTTTTCATGGAATCAACGGTGACGCCAAAAGCGCAGGTAGCGATCACGTCATTAGTATATCTTGTAAAGACATCTTTCATTTCCATTTTCCGCTTTTCCGACGGCATTTGCGCCAAGTAATCGCTAAAATTTGCACCATAATCCGACATCAATTTGAACATACTTTTCATTTTACTGGATGTGAAAGCTGGACTCAATATAGATCGCACCTCATGCCACCTTTTTCCACGAAGAGCGACAAGATTCTTGCCAAATAATGGATCTTGAGTTTCATCGATAAAGGCGCGATGATCCGGAAACGTATCGAAGTGTTTTAGCGTGATGGATTTAATAAGCTCGGGGTCGCGAATCACGGTGAGCGGTCTGGTTAAATCATACATGCCGACATACTTGGCGTCAGGATTTAAATCGTATATCCACTTGACAAGTTCGGCTACCGACTGACGACGGAAGAGCGATGGACCCATGTTACCCAAGAAAGGAAGAGGTTTTGCATGCGGTATTCCATGTTTTTTGTAGAAATTTAAATCCTTGAAGAGATAATAATAAATGCCTAACGCGCCTACTATCACCGATAAAGCGATTGCATATATCATGCTGATAACTTCTTCCACTTTGATAAGTTCGGGTGATAGAATTAATCACACAAAAAAATATAGTGTACAGGTTTTTTTGAACAAATTTGTTATTTGAATATTTATGTAGCGTTATTAAAGTACTCTCGTGCATGCACGTTACATGTCGGAGTACGACGGTCAACTACCATCGCCGCGAGTAACGTTTCTCTTATATGGCATCATCTACGAGACGTATGTGTGTATTTACGTATGTGTATGTGAATCTGTCACGCAGCATGAGTGTGTATCAAGGTTTCACACCAACTACAACTGCTGCGTCGTATCTTTCGATAAGGCACTCTCGATGGGACGATAAAAACTTTACAGAACATATTGCAAAATTTTATGAAATACTTGAAATGTATAAATACACTTGGTATTATCCTTTCTGTTTTGATAATATATATCATATAATAAAATTGTTATTTGAAAAGATAATTTTGATCATAAAGTTGGAACGCGAGATGTTCTTTAAATTGATACATATAAATATTAACGAAATTGATCATGGCAGATTTGTAAAATTATCAACAATATAAATTTATGAATTATATGTAAAACATGAATAATAACCTCGTCATTGTTAAATATTTTATTAATGAAAAAATACTTTATTATTAAAAATAATGGTCAATAGCCATGTGTCAAATGTCAAATGTCAGTGACTGTATTATAAGTTACATTCATAAAAAAATATTTGCATATCTCATCTGATTTGGAATGCATTTATATCCAAAGATTGGAAATGTATTAAAACCTTGGAATTAGTTTACAGCAAAAGTTTGAAATTAATTTACATAAAAAATATCTTTGCGAATGTTTTATAAATACACGACGTAAATTATATATACCATGATGGATACGCTTTTGAATTTACATTTTGTTGCGCTTTAGAGAGAGAGAGAGAGGAGAGAAGAATGGAAGAATCGTGGTTAAGCGAAACTTAAGCAGAAACATGTAATTTTATAAAATATTACAAATTTTAATACTTGTTTGATTTTAATATTTTTTTATACAATGCATTTTACATTATGCTTAATTTAATATATAAATTCAATTATGCTTAGTTTAGATATGGATTCAATTTAATCTAAATTATATCATGTTTATTTATGATCGAGAGAAAAAACAAATTGAATTTGATATTAAATCTGTTGCTGGGTAAAATTATTATACAGAGATTGCGATATTGCTATCAACGAATAATATCATATTGATAATAAACAGTGATAGATAAGAAATATAAATCAGCTTAAATAACAAAGAGTATTTTATATGTTTACATTTATGTTGCTTATTTTATTATAACATATATTTCATTAATATTTATTTTCAAATTTATTCAAAAGATCAGATTTAATAATCAATTATTGCTTACTGAGTGCAGAATTTTGCTGGACTAAAGTTTGTGATTGAGTTACATTGAAAAGATTCACGAGTATATTACGAGGTTCAGAGCGGCTGTAGAAACAGTTATCCGCTATAGCTCAGCTCGGTAACATCGCGGATATTTTACATAAGCGGAGAGCCGTAGAGATAATTATCTGCAAAAGTCCACATTGGCAATCAAGTGTCAATCAAGTGCTAATAATTCATTTTTTGAATAGATTTTTGAATATTTGCTATGGAGTACTGGTCGATATTGTTATCAATCGTCATCGGTGCCCTCGGTATCTATTGTTTGTTTAAAAACTTTAATTTTTTTAAAAGACATGGTGTCATTCATATACCGCTTGATACAATGCTATGCATTGTGGTATCGGTATTATTTCGCCGAATATCATTCGTCGACTTTATGAAGAAGATATATAACTTCAATCCAGACGCTAAGTACTTTGGATTTTATGCCATAACAACTCCGTTTATCTTGTTGCGTGACCCTGAACTTATCAAGACTGTCCTTATCAAGAATTTCGATGCCTTTCCTAATCGCCGCGGTTTCAGCGAATTAAATGAATTGTTCGCAAAGAATCTGTTTTCACTTCGCGGAGAAAAGTGGCGGGATGTAAGAAATCTGTTAAGCCCCTCTTTTACGTCCAGCAAGTTAAAGACCATGTTCACCTTGATGTCGGAATGTGCAGTGGATTTTGTTAAATTTCTATCAACACTGCCAACGGACAAAAGCGATATGGATATAAAAGACGCTTTTACTAAATACACGAACGACGTCATCGCAACGTGTGCTTTCGGCATCAAGGTCGATTCTATGAAAGATCCGGCGAACAAGTTCTATATTTACGGCAAAGACGCAACTGACTTTTCGGGAATGCGCAGTATCAAGTTTCTGCTTCTTACAAATTTTCCGAGGCTTGGGCGCATTCTGAATTTAAAGCTTATAAACGACTACGTGACAAATTTCTTCAGAGATATTATAAAGACCACAATCGCCACTCGCGATGCCGAAAACATTACGCGTCCGGACATGATACAGTTGATGATGGATATCAGGGGCAAAGAAGGTCGACGAGAACTGAGTATCGATGATATGACTGCGCAAGCTTTTAACTTTTTCTTCGGCGGCTTTGAAACTAGCTCGGTCGCGATGTCCTTTGCAGCTCACGCAATCGCGACTAATCTAGATGTTCAAGTCAAGTTACGGGAAGAGATCGACAAGGCTCTGGAGGAATCAAATGGGGAAGTGACTTACGAAGTCATTAACCAGCTCGAATATTTAGACGCGGTGATAAACGAAACTCTCAGATTGTATTCACCGGTTCCTTTCTTAGAAAGATTATGCGAAAAGGATTATGAGTTGCCACCCGCATTGACGGGCGAGAAAGCTTTCACCGTGAAGAAGGGTATGATGCTGTGGATTCCAGTTTCCTCAATACATTACGATGAGAATTACTATGATAATCCGGACAAATTTTATCCAGAAAGATTTTTAAACAACAAAACGCACCAAAACTCTTTATTCTATATGCCATTTGGATTAGGACCGAGAATGTGCATAGCCAACAGATTTGCTGTATTAGAGATCAAAGTTTTGCTGTTTTATCTGTTAGCGCGATGCGAATTGAAACCTTGCGGTAAAACTGTATTGCCATTGAAATTTAGCAAGAAAGATATAATAATAACGCCAGAGGGAGGATTCTGGTTGAATATTCAGCGCAGAAGCGATATGCATTCTGCGCTTGAACCTAAAAATTAATTGCATTGCTAATTTTGAGAAAATACTTATATGTATAAGTATATTATAATAGTATTTGATATAAAATCGTCATTATTTCTTTTATAGATTGTAATTGTTGTAGATATTAATGGTTAGCATTATTGAAAATGTAGAGATTTGAAAAAGCAAAGTTTCGTTCATAAATCAAAATAAAATTACTGTTTATTAAACATATAAGGAAATTGTTTTTTAAATAAATTTGTTATATATATATATATATATATATATATAGTATTTCTTTTCTTCCCGATTATTTAAACCTTTTCGACAATGTTGATTTTATTAAAATTATTTTAATTTTTGTGTTTTTACGATTATACGTCGCGTTAATTTTTAATTTTGTTTCCATTCTGTTTAATTTCTTTCTATTGAAACAATGTATTGCTTCGAGCCACCCCTATGATCTTTACTTCATCAATTCCTCCCCTCTGACATGTAGTTTTTCTCCAACAACGATAAATTAGGGATTAGTAAAGGCACTTTTATAAATTAGGAATGCTTCCAAGAGCATGATACGAGATTGCTTACTAAATAATACAATTATGTTCTCTCAATTATGGACTTTCTAACACATTTGGCTTAGATAGAATATCTTATAATGAGCATGTAAGCATAATTTTAGTGTGAATATGTAACACACGAAATATAACACAAACATAACACAAAATTTTCAACAAAAGTTTGTTGAGACGTCTATATTTGGAACGTTTACTTAATAAATATTCGTGAAATAGTAGAATATTCGGAAGAATGCGCAAATGCTTTCGATATACTGATGTCTTTCCGACCTTGTCGCTTTATAGAAACCGGTTTGCTCGTGCAAGGCCAATTCCTTTGGAAGAGCAGCGGACGCCCAGGAAGCGTACACTCCCAACCGCTCATTAAAGTGGCATTCACAAGCTCGTATCGCGTCTCTGGGAGCGCTCAATCACGTAGCCGAATACATTATATGACTGTTATCTGCTATGCAGCTGCGCGAGAACGTGCAGCCAATGCAGATCCTCTTTGGTCAATGCAAGAGGAAGCTTGTCACAGGCTTGACACGCAGAATCCTGGCATTTATAACATCGGTAGATCTGAACTATCATTGCTTATACATATATTTATAAAAGATAATCCTACAACTATTTTCAACAAACTTTATACATAGTTTAGCATTGTTTTTTTTATATATTATTCTTTTTTAATTATTCTTAAAATTATTATATATTTTGATCAAAAAAGGAAAAAAGAAAAAAAAATAAGTTTTATAATATCAACAAATCAAATATCGGAATGATCTGTATTTAATTTTGACGAACAGTTTTTGAAAATAAACATTATTATAGTTAATATTAATAATATTAATATTAGTTACAATTAAAATATATACATATATAAACAAAATATTAAAAAATTTATAACAATTAATTAATTAAACAATTTTATTTTTTAACCCATCTTCATGTAATTTAATTACAAAATATTTACAAGTGCGTAAATTTAATTCTTATAGAAAAAAGTACGTTTTTATAAAGTTTAAGACAAATATAATACAGAAGTAATATAAACAATTACTGTGCAGTAAATAGCGAATAAAAAATATTGAAAAAAAGATAATTGACGTTGCAAAGTTAATTGATCAATGATCAGTAACAGATAACGAACTGCGTACTTGATTTTTAACCTTTAATCTTTTTCATGTTGGAGATAATGACAACATTGTTTTTAATAAGAAATATTTTTAATGCAAAAAATATTACAATCTTGAACGAATACAACGCACTTCACATCCTAAAACGATTATTAAAAGGCTGGCGATTATCAGCGCAATTTTACTTATTAAAACATCAACCTTCGACATTAAGAATAATCTTTATATGCATGTGTACGCATCATGTGGGAGGCTGTTGCGTAGAATGATGTAAAGCGCCAGGTTATTTTCAGATGGTGATCTGAATTTAATTGATCTGAATAGCAGACGTAGCATTCGAGAATGCACGGCTTTTTTCCGTCATATGTGTGTAACTATTTTTTAATAGCTGGAATATATTTTGAACTGCTATAAACAAATATTTCTTTCACATTGTTGAACACTTTTGGAAAAATAACATTTTATTTATCTCTGATTTCAGATAATATCGAAAATAAATTCATGGCTATTAGATACAATAACAATAATTGTGCACTAATTTAAATAAAAAAAAAAAATAAATAAATTTGTGCTATTAGTTGATAATTATAAGCCGAGATAAGATTCTTTAATCTTTTTCATGCCATCTTCTTTTTCGTTCTCTTAACAATATGCAACAGATAAAGACGACGTTGCTTCTAACACATCAGAAAGATTCTTAATGTGAAAAAACTAATTGTTTAAACTTGAAATAACAAAAATTTTTTTATCAAAAATCAGTGCGATGCTTTAGGTTTACTGCTTTCCACTTTATCTGAAATTTAAATAACATTATATTTCACTTATTGTATACATTTTTACTTTGTTATTGATTAGCAAAATAGTAAAAAATGTTTGTGTTTATTTGTATTTTTAAATTTACAAGATATGATTAAAAAGTAATGCAATATGCTTACGACTAGTGCGTCTCATTAATTACGACAGTCTTATGCGGTTTTTGTCTTGGTGTTACGCTTAACCAGAAGCCTCCTTCAGGTTGAATATTAAAAGGATTTTTACCGATTATGAGCGGTATCGGTGTCTTCTCGCAAGGTTTTAGGTCACAACGTGCCAGCAGATGAAAGAGAAGAACCTTCGTTTCTAACAATGCGAATCTATTACCTATACACATTCTAGGACCCGAGCCGAAAGGCAGATAAGCTCCGCAATGAAGAGACTCATTCTTTCGCTCTCCAAGAAACCGCTCTGGATCGAATTTTTCCGGCTCCTCGAAATATTTAGGATCATGATGAAGTCCATAAACTGGTATCCATATGCCTTGTCCTTTTTTTATAGTATAGGGTTTTATTCCTGGTAAGGTAGGTGGTAGTTCAAAGTCTTTTATGCATATTCTGTCTAATGCCACAGAAACCGGATATATTCTGAGAGCCTCGTTGATGACAGCATCTAAGTATTCCATATTGTTTACCGCTTCGTAAGGTGCTTGTCCATTCGTCTTTTCCAAGACTTGATCAATTTCATTTTGAAGTCTTTCTTGTATATCTCGATTCATTGCAATTTCATGTGCGGCAAAGCACATTAAAGTCGAAGTGCTTTCAAAGCCGCCGAAGAAGAAAATAAACGCTTGTGACACCATATCTTCGATGTTCAGTTGTGTTTTGCTTTCCGTACCTCTGTTGTCCATCATTAACTGTAGCATATCTGGTCGAACGATACCTTTCTCATCCCTGGTTTTTATCGTATCTTTCACAAGGTCTCTGAAGAAACTTGCCATTTTTTCACGAAATAATCTCAATCGAAGTATTCGTGCCAGCCAAGGGAAAATTCTAAATATGAAAAACTTGAGGATAACGATGCCGTCAAAGTTGGTTGCTTCTTTGCCGTACACATAAAATTCATTTTTTGGATTTCTCATGGAATCAACGGTGACGCCAAAAGCACAGGTGGCGATTACGTCATTGGTATATCTAGTAAAAACGTTCTTCGTTTCCATCGTCCTCTGCTCGGGTGGTAATTGTGCCAAATAATTGCCAAATTTAGCGCCGTAGTCTGACATTAGCTTAAACATAGTTTTCATTTTGCTGGACGTGAAAGCAGGGCTCAATAAAGACCGCATTTGCCGCCATCTTTCCCCGCGAAGAGAAAAGAGATTTTTGCCGAATAATGGATCTTGAGTTTCTTCAACAAAGCCTACATGATCCATAAACGTATCGAAATGTTTCAGCGTAACAGATTTAATAAGCTCGGGGTCGCGAATCACGGTCGTCGGTTTGGTTAAATCATATATGCCGACATACTTGGCGTCAGGATTTAAATTATATATCAATTTGATAAAATCGGCTGGTGATTGGCGCCGTAAAAGCATTGGAGCCGAATTGCCCAATAGAGGAAGTGGCTTGATATGCGGTATTCCATGCTTTTTAAAAATATTAAGATCCTTCAGAAGGAAATAATAAATGCCTAAAGCGCCCGCAATCACCGATAAAACGATTAGGTATACCATATTAATATAAAACTATTTTACTGTTAGTTGTCCTTGTACATCAAAATCAATTTTTTATCTTTACACAATCCACTTATTATTTGGTTAAGCTGGCAGTTATATAATAAAAATACACTACATCACGCACCGAGATTTGACGGCCGACTGCTGCCGCACCGGAACGATCTTACTTACATATGTACGGTGTGACGTATCACACATTGCTTACGTAAGCGAAATGAATGAAAGTATCAGTTTATCTCTAATACTACAAACGTACTCTTCAAAATGATGAAATACATTGGATTCCTCCTATTATTATTTTTAATGTAAATTTGTTCATCTTTAAGTGATATTTGTAGTCGTAAATTTGCAAATTTTAATAGAAAGCATAATTATTTACGTTAATAGATTCGTACGCTTGGCTTTTCAGTCAATTATTTCGAAAAATTGTTCACGAAGATCTGTTTTAGAATTTTTATGTAAAGGTTTATTATTTTTTAGAAAATTTATAATTTTAAAAAAATCTTTGAATCTTTCATAAAAATGTATAGTGAAATTTTTGTTATTATTTTAGTCATTATTAATCCTCTTAAATAATTATCGATTCATTAAATAAGACCTTAAATGTAATAAAAGCTTTTCTATTAAAATGTCGAAAAAATTCGTGATTATTAGGTATAATAACAATAACTGTGCATTATTAAATGAAAAAAAGTAATTTATGATATCAGTTGATAATCATAAACCGAGATAAGATTCTTCAATTTCTATAGTGCCATCTTTTTTTTCGCTTTCTTAACAATATGCAGCAGATAAAGACGACGTTGTTTCCAACATATCAGAAAGATTTTTAATGTGGAAAAATAATTGTTCAAACTTCAAATAACACAAATCTTTTTATCAAAAATCAGTGCCATGCTTTATGTTTGTTGTCTTCTGCTTTATCTGAAATTTTAAATAACATTATATTTCACTTATTGTACACATTTTTTACTTTGTTATTGATTGGCAAAATAGCAAAAAATATTCTTATTTATTTGTATTTTTAAATTTACAAAATATGATTAAAAAGTAATGAAATATGCTTACGATTAATGTGTTTCATTAATTACGACAGTGTTACTGCGGTTTTTGCCTTGGTACCACACTTAGCCAGAAGCCTCCTTCAGGTTTCATATTAAAACCGTCTTTAGCGATTTTGAGCGGTATCGGTGTCTTCTCGCAAGATTTCAGATCGCAACGTGCCAGCAGATGAAAGAGAAGAACCTTTGTTTCTAACAATGCGAACCTGTTACCTATACACATTCTGGGACCCAATCCGAAAGGCAGATAAGCTCCGCAATGGAGAGAGTCATTCTTTCGCTCTCCAAGAAAACGCTCGGGATCGAATTTTTCTGGCTCCTCGAAATATTTAGGATCATGATGAAGTCCATAAACTGGTATCCATATGCCTTGTCCTTTTTTTATAGTATGGGGTTTTATTCCTGGTAAGGTAGGTGGTAGTTCAAAGTCTTTCATGCATATTCTGTCTAATGCCACCACAACCGGATATCTTCTGAGAGCCTCGTAGATGACAGCATCTAAGTATTCCATATTGTTCACAGCTTCGTAAGGTGCTTGCCCATTCGTCTCTTCCAAGACTTGATCGATTTCAGTTTGAAGTCTTTCTTGTATATCTCGATTCACTGCAATTTCATGTGCGGCAAAGCACATTAAAGTCGAAGTGGTTTCAAAGCCGCCGAAAAAGAAAATAAACGCTTGCGACACCATGTCTTCGATGCTCAGTTCTGTCTTGTTCTCTTTAGCTCTGTTGTCCATCATCAACTGCAGCATATCTGGTCGAACGATACCTTTCTCATCCCTGGTTTTTATCGTATCTTTCACAAGGTCTCCGAAGAAATTTGCTATTTTTTCACGAATGAATCTCAATCGAAGTACTCGTGCCAGCCAAGGCAAACTTCTAAATATGTAAAACTTTAAAAGAGCGATGCTGTCAAAAGTGGTTGCTTCTTTGCCGTACACATAAAATTCATTGTTTGGATTTCTCATAGAATCAACGGTGATGCCAAAAGCACATGTGGCGATTACATCACTGGTGTATCTAGTAAAGGCGTCTTTCGTTTCCATCGTTTTCTGCTCGGGTGGTAATTGTGCCAAATAATTGCCAAACTTAGCGCTGCAATCTGACATGAGCTTAAACATATTTTTCATTTTGCTGGATGTGAAAGCAGGGCTCAATAAAAATCGAATTTGCCGCCATCTTTCCCCGCGAAGAGAAAAAAGATTCTTGCCGAATAATGGATCTTGAGTTTCTTCAACAAAGGCTATATGATCCATAAACGTATCGAAATGTTTCAGCGTAATAGATTTAATAAGCTCGGGGTCGCGAATCACGGTCAGTGGTGTGGTTAAATCATACAGACCGACATATTTGGCGTCTGGATTTAGATCATATATCGATTTGACAAGATCTGCTACCGATTGACGACGAAAGAGCGATGGACCCATATTACCAACTACAGGAAGCGGCTTGATATGCGGTATTCCATGCTTTTTAAAAAAATTCAAATCCTTCAGAAGGAAATAATAGATGCCTAGTGCACCCGCTATCACCGATAGAGCGATTATGTATACCATATTAATAAGAAAAACTATTTTGTTGTGTTAGTTTACACCATGTAGTTGTTCTTGTACATGAAAATTAGTTTTCGATTTTTACTATTGATGTTTCACTAAGTGCGCAGTTTATATAAGGACACACAATATTACGCGTCGAGATTTAACGGTTGACTGTTGATGCACTGAGACGATCTTTCTTATATATGTACGGTATGACGTACCATTGGTTACGCAACAGAAGTGGAAGAATGTACAGTTTAATCATAATTATTTCTAACACGACTAACGTGCTATTGAACATGATGAAATGCATTGGATTTTCCGTATTATTGTTAATGTAATTTTGTTCAATTTTAACTGTTATTTGTAGTCGTAAAATTTCCAAGTTTTAATTGAAAGCGTAATTGATTATGCTAATAGATTACGCATAGATCGTGAGTCAATTATTCTGATTAATAGTTCACGAATATCTGTTTTAGAATCTTTAAAGGTTTATTAATTTTTAGAATATTTATAATTTCAAAAAAATCTTTGAATCTTCTGTAAAAATGTATAATGAAATTTTAGTTATTATTTTAGTTATTATTTAGTTATTATTAATTTTGTTTAATAATCGATTCATTAAGTAAGGCTTTAAATGTAATAGAAACTTTTTAATTAATATGTCCAAAAAATTCGTGATTATTAGGTTTAATGGCAATAATTGTGCACTATTTAAATAAAAAAAAAATAATTTGTGCTATTAATTGATAATCATAAACCGAGATAAGATTCTGTAATCTCTGTCGTGCCATCTTTTTTTCGCTTTCTTAGCAATATGCAATAGATAAAGACGACGTTGTTTCCAACATATCAGAAAGATTCTTATGGAAATGTGGAAAAATAATTGTTCAAACTTTAAACAACACAAATTTTTTTGTTAAGAATCAGAGCCATGTTTTAGGTTTGTTGCCGTCCACTTTATCTGAAATTTAAATAACATTAATTTTACTTAATGTATATATCTTTACTTTGTTATTGATTAGCAAAATAGTAAAAAAGGTTTTTGTTTATTTGTGTCTTCAAATTTACAAGATATGATTAAGAAGTAATGAAATATGTTTACGGCTAGTGTGTTTCATTAATTACGACAGTCTTATGCGGTTTTTGCCTTGGTGTCACGCTTAACCAGAAGCCTCCTTCAGGTTTCATATTAAAAGCGTCTTTAGCGATCTTGAGGGGTATCGGTGTCTTCTCGCAAGGTTTCAGATCACAACGTGCCAGCAGATGAAAGAGAAGAACCTTTGTTTCTAACAATGCGAATCTATTACCTATACACATTCTAGGACCCGAGCCGAAAGGCAGATAAGCTTCGCTGTGTAGAGACTCATTTTTTCGCTCTCCAAGAAACCGCTCTGGATCGAATTTTTCCGGCTCTTCGAAGTATTTGGGATCCTGATGAAGTCCATAAACTGGTATCCATAAGCCTTGTCCTTTTTTCATAGTAAAAGGTTTTTTTCCTGGTAAGGTAGGTGGTAGTTCAAAGTCTTTCATGCATATTCTGTCTAATATCGCGGCAACTGGATACATTCTGAGTGTTTCGCTGATGACCGCATCTAAGTATTCCATATTGTTCACAGCTTCATAAGGTACTTGCCCATTCGTCTCTTCCAAGACTTGATCGATTTCAGTTTGAAGTCTTTCCTGTATATTTCGATTCACAGCAATTTCATGTGCGGCAAAGCACATTAAAGTCGAAGTGCTATCAAAGCCGCCGAAGAAGAAAATGAACGCTTGTGACACCATATCTTCGATGCTCAGTTCTGTTTTGCTCTCTTTACCTCTGTTGTCCATCATCAACTGTAGCATATCTGGTCGAACGATACCATTCTCATCCCTGGTTTTTATCGTAACTTCCACAAGGTCTCGGAAGAAGTTTGCTATTTTTTCACGAATGATCTTCAATCCAAATATTCGCCCTAACCAAGGGAAAGTTCTAAATATGTAGATTTTTAAAAGAATGATGCTGTCGAAGCCGGATGCTTCTTTGCCATACACATAAAATTCATTTTTCGGATTTCTCATGGAATCAACGGTGATGCCAAAAGCACAGGTGGCGATTACATCATTGGTGTATCTAGTAAAGGCGTCTTTCGTTTCCATCATTCTCTGCTCGGGTGGTAATTGTGCCAAATAATTGCCAAACTTAGCGCCGCAGTCTGACATGAGCTTAAACATACTTTTCATTTTGCTGGATGTGAAAGCTGGGCTCAACAAGGACCGTATTTGCCGCCATCTTTCCCCGCGGAGAGAAAAAAGATTCTTGCCAAGTAATGCATCTTGAGTTTCGTCAAAAAAGCCGATATGATCCATGAACGTATCGAAATGTTTCAACGTTATAGATTTAATAAGCTCGGGATCGCGAATCACGATGAGCGGTCTGTTTAATTCATATAGACCGACATATTTGGCGTCAGGGTTTAGATCATATATCGATTTTATAAGATCGACTGCCGATTGACGACGGAAGAGCGATGGAGCCATATTGCCCAATAAAGGAAGAGGCTTGAAATGCGGTATTTCATGCTTCTTGAAAAAATTCAAATTCTTTAAAAGGAAATAATAGAGGCCTAAAGCGCCTGCTAACACTGATAAAGCTATTACGTATACCATATTGATATAAAAACTGTTTTACTGTGTTAGTTCCACCATGTAGTTGTCCTTGTGCAGCACAGTCAATTTTCAATCTTTACACAATCCACTTGATATTTGACTAAGCGCGCAGTTGTTTAATAAGGACACACAATGTTTCGCGTCGAGATTTGACGGTCGACTGATGCTGCACTGGAACGATCTTTCTCATATGTACTGTATGACGTATCATGGCTTATGTAAGAGAAGTGAAGTTTACGTTAATTTAAGGATAATTATCTTTAACACCACTAACGTACTATTAAACGTGATGAAATACGTTGGATTCCGCATATTATTGTTAATGTAATTTTGTTCAACTGGAACTGATATTCGTTGTTGTAAATTTACAAGTTTTAATTGTAAGCGTATTCAATTACTCTGATGGATTTATATGCATAGATTGTCAATCATTTATTCGTATTAATATTCCACGATTTGTTTCAGAATTTTTATTTAATGGTTTATTATTTTTAGATAATTTATGATTTGAAAT